CCTGAAACTGTTCTTAATAAGAGGTGTGCTTTCGCTAATGGGGCCTCTTGCTGCTGCTGCTGCTGCGCTGCCGGCACACGATTTCCGTTCTCTTCCTGGGGCAAAGTTCTCAACTCTTCCAGGTTAGCAGAGTTTGTAAACTGAGGTGTTTGTAACTCGAGGTACCACTGTAATTCCAGTATAACTCTCGGGGACTGCAAAGCTTATGTTGCAAGAACTGTCCATTTATTTCCACCCTCTGTTTCCTGTTTCTTTGATCAAGTGTCAATCCATAAGATAAGTCATCCTGTTTATTCAGCAAGTTCTGGTGAGGAACCTCATCAAAAACATTAGAGAAGATCAAGACTATATAGATAGAGGTGAGCTGATGGACATGCTTGAGAACCCCTTCAGACAATTAAAAAATGTTGGTTGGACCATACATCCCATAGTAGAAGTCCTGCTGATTTCTCTTCAAGCACTGTTTTTTTATTATTATTTAAAAAATTAGTAGTGCTTTCTACCAATTTACTTGAGAAGCACATCAGGTGCATGGATCTGTGATTTCCAGGCTTTCCCAAGAACACTGTTTCAATATTGGTGTGAAATGGGCTACTTTCCAATCTTATGGTATGAAAGCCACAGTCAGGTTGCATATTTTTTGTTAGATAATCCACGATGTTACATCTGAATTCTTTCAAAATTCTCAGGAGTATATCATCCATACCTGGTTTTTTGTTTTATCAATTTTCTGTAGAACTTCATCTTTTGTTACTTCTTTTATTCTATGTATAATTCTTCCAATGTCCTAGCGGGAAAGAGCAATCCATGTGTTGGTATGTCACCAGTATCTTTTGCTGTGAAGACTAATGCCAATAATTCGTCCAGTTTCTTTGCAATCTCTTTCAGTAGTTCTTTTACTTATTTGTCATCTGGTGCTACAACAGTCTCCTTGGCTGGTTTCCTATTTTTGACGTAGTTCTGATGATGGTGATGTTGTTGTAATGTTAGCCACAAGGACCACTACTGTAAAGAGAAAATCGGGGCATCTCTAGGATGCTTTTCTGTATGCTGGGTAGGAGATGTGCTGCTGGACCATATGGTCAGGGAGCGCATCCCATAATATAGAGGTCACATCTGAAAAGTCTGTGTTTCCACAACCTGTGTATCTGACCCTCTGGTCTGGGTATGGAGCTGGGTATTACGCTTTCATCTTAGTTGAAACTGGTTGAGTAAAACAGGATGGTTTACCTTTGAATGCCTGGAAGTGTGCAATGACCATTAGCTCTGTCTCCCAAAATGGAGGTCTTGACAGGCCGAGAGCTGGATGTGATGTACTTTAGACTTCCTACTCCTAATCTCCTTAACCTCACCATCTGCTGCCATCACTGTTAGATGATAACAGATACAGTTTTGCCATGAGGCCCAAAACAGCACTTAAACTGTTGTAGTCTCATAGCACCAATCTTTAACTCTTAGGAAGATACTGGTGTCTAAGGTGATAGTGCGTTGTGGCAAAGGACAAAGCTTTTATTTTATTTTTTCACCGATAACTTTAAGCTAGAGTCACGGAACATCATGGATAAGTTTTTTAGCTACCAGTCAGAAACATTATTTGTTAGGAAAGAAATGTAAGATCCGAGAGAAGCACAATAGAATTACGTATAAAATCAAACTTAGTAGCAGAGTTCAAATTCCTGCCAGGGTTGCTCTGTTTAACATAAGCTTCACCCGTAAACATTGACAAATGATAGTGCTCAAATTTACTCCGTGAAAATATCTACCTCCTGATTGAGTTACAGAGCAGGCCGGGCAAGTTTCTTTTTATCAGTTGGCAACCTTGTCTTTAACAACACTAGGCCAGCCAGTCTGCCTTTGGTCTTCAACCCCAGATACATACATTCAACCTGGCATTGCTTTGTATTTTTCTCTGCCTGGTGGGCATGACTGGTACCAGATTGTGTGGGAAACTGCCCTGCTAGAAAAGTTAACCAACAAAATTAAATTAGCACAGGCACAAGCAAAAGAGGATGCCTTCACACCAGTGTGGCTCCCCTTTATCACATATACAGCTCAACAGGACAATGACCTGACCCCTCCAACAGCGTACACATCGATATGGCTAATCTGACCCAATCCCCCACCCCACCGTTTCACACATATAAACAAACCAGACCGCAACCAACTGAATGTACCAACCATGTACCGACCGTCTAGTCTCTTGCACTGTCATAAATAAATAAATAAATAAATAAATAAATAAATAAATAAATAAATGACCTACTCACGTGACCCTGACACAGAAACCCTGCACAAACACTATGCAATAGAATGAAAGATCAGTATTTTCCCTTCTTCCTCCCTTGCTCTCTCTCCCTGCCTCTTTCCCCCCAGTCGCATATGATGTCTGCAACAGCAGTGTCTCACACCGAATGGAACTGAACTGTGAAAAAAGACTGTGAATGGAAAACAGAGATGCTAAATGTACCTTTGCTATACAAGAAAATCTGTAATAAAAATTAAATTAAAGAAGAAAACTGGCAATCAGGTGCTCATACGAGTATTTAAAGCCCTAAATGACCTGGGCCCTAGATACCTGAAAGATGGCCTCCTTCCCCACATTCTCTCTGGGGGATCAGATCCTCTGAGGTGCCCTTGGGCAGTTTGGGAGAGGGCAGTCTCCATGCCAGGTCCTGGGTTGTGCTATTCTCTCCCCACAGAAGTGCGTCTAGTGATGTTAAATTCTCGAGAATATTCTCGATTAATGAGAATATTAGAGAATTTTCATTTAAAATAGGAGAATATTCATTTTAATGCATTGAAAATGATATAATTTAATGCATTGAAAATGATATAATTAGTTAATATACATGTTTATTCATGGGTAAACGTGTTCAGATGGAAAGCAAAAACTGCAAAGATACGTTTATTCAATGGGGCAATGCCGGGAATTCCATTCTTTGATTTTTTGCACCAAACTTGAAATTGAAAATTCAACACGAATGACTCACGTTAATCACTAGGCCAGCCACTTACCATATATTTACCATCAACTTGAATTCTAATTATGTTGTGTATGTATGACTTTTAAAATAAAAGGAATACAGTATAAAAAAATCTCAGGTCCACTACATGAGTATGTTCTTTAATAATCATATCTACATACAGAAATGTCAACTGTTTAAATCAAGGCCACCTCACATGCTGTTACACATAATTGTATAGGCCTAGGTACTTTAAGTGTATAAAGCAGGTACTGTATAGGCAAACTCCGGCCCTCCAGATGTTTGGGACTACAATTCCCATCATCCCTAGCTAATGATGAGATGATGGGAATTGTAGTCCCAAACATCTGGAGGGCCAGAGTTTGCCTATGCCTGGTATAATGCATTAAAGCTCCCTTCTGTAAAAAAACAAAACATCCCACACTGTATGGCCAAGGGTATAGAATTGCTAAGAATAAGGTCACACCAAAATAGGAAAAAGGCTATTACATATGGTTGAAATACATACGAATTCAAATGTTCATCAAATTAAATGAATAGCATGTTTAAAACTAAAAAAGAAAAAAAATGTTTTCTGTAGTTCACATTTCAGAACTGCCAATGGTGAATGACACAATGCCCAATAATGTAACTGGATCAAAAAAATCATTATTCATTACTTACACTGGCAATATCACAGCTTGACTTATTATTTACTAGATTTTTTAAATGTGTGTTGTAAAACTGGTTCTTTCCTTAGAATTTACAGTTTGGAGAATATTTTCTGGAGAACTTTCTAGGAGAAAATATTCTCGAATATTCTCATTCACGAGAATATTCTCACATCACTCAGCGCGTCTGGCACCGTTCTTAGTGTGTCCTTCCTATTCCTCTCACCTTGGTCTTTGACAACTGAATGTGTGTTTTCAGGAACCCTGTGACTTACAGTTTTGAACTGTTTTTAATATTGAATTTTAATTAGTTGGTAAACGGATCCTGGGATCTAACGGAGAAGGGCAGGAAATAACATTGAGTAAACAATAATAATGTTATCCGCAGTACCAGCCTGTTTTGCACCAGCCTACCTGCCTGAACTGATCACCTTCATGTTGTTCCTTAAAGGCTTGATCTTTTGGGCATGGTTAACCATTCCATGAATACTTTTGGTGATGTGATGCAACTTGGGGCAAATTATCATTGAATTGGATGCCATCCTAGAAGGAGTTTTCTGTGCCTGGCTACCTGGCCCCAGGGCGCAGACTTCTTTAAATGTCTAACTCCACAAAGGCGCTCTCGCCCCAACACCCGCCTGCTATAGTAGCATAATGTTTGTGATACTTATAAACTGGCAGTAGGTGGTGCTGCTAGTGCTGATTACATAACAGCATAACGTAGCGAACAGGGGGACTTTTCTTGAAAATGCCCTTGCCTTCTCTGTGGTAGACAGGAAGAAGCTAATATAGTTCCTTGGGAGGAGATGATGTTTACTCTACATTAGAGTGGTAATGGGTTTTTCAAGCAAAATCTCCTAACTCTTAATTTGCTTGCAGAAATTCAAATGCAGATTCTCGTAATTTGATTTCTACCCCAACATCAGCAGTTAAGCATGCTGTGGGGCTAGAATATTTTAGGAAGAAGCAAGAAGCCAGCAAGTTGATACTTAAAACATTATCTTAAAACACATTACAGTGGTACCTTGGTTTTCGAACTTAATCCTGTCCGGAAGTCCGCTCTTAAACCAAAGTGTTCTTAAACCAAGGTGTGCTTTCCCATAGCAGCGGAGGACTCAATTTCCAAATGGAACACACTCAACAGGAAGCGAAATATGTTCTTATTCCAAGACAAAGTTCACAAACCAAAACACCTACTTCCGGGTTTGCAGCATTCTTAATCCAAGTTGTTCATAAACTAAGCTGTTCTTAAACCAAGGTACCACTGTACTTAAAAAAAAGGAAAGATACACCTCAAAGCCATAATTTCAGAATTCTAAAGAATTTTAAATCTGAAATGTATTAAATTTCTGTTGCTTTGTTTCAGCTCTTCACTGTACAAGTAAGCAACTACAGAGAGGAGACAAAGACAGATTGCTTGCATAAGAGGATCTTCAGTTAAGAAAGAACAGTCGACCAAAGTGTGGTAGGCAACTCTTTAAGTCTTGGTTGTTGTAATGTGGGTTACAAATTAGCAGAATGGACCTACTGGTCTCTGTGAGGCTCTGCTTGAAGCCAATGGAATGTTAGCCACTACTTTCAACAGGAGGGAGGTGAGCTCTCAAATTCTTCTTAGCCTAACTAAGGGACACTTGGTCAGGAAATCTGATTACCATCTGCCAGCCCATCAATAATGGAGCTTAGCAAAACAGCTTCGCTCCATCTGATTACTTGGTCTAGGAATCACACAGCAGCCGCCCACCATTCTAGGTGACCCAGGCTGGCAGATGATGTGCAAGGAGGGGCCTGGGCTGAGGCTCCAGAAGGGGCCAGAATTTGCACTCCAAACTTCTACCTTGTTAGTTCTCATTTCTGTAACTCGGTTTTTCCATGGCTCTTTGTTTATTCCTTCCAAAATAAGCTACAACGTGTGCATGTCCGCTGTGCCTTAACACTTGGGGTATCCTAGAAGGTTTTGTTCGGGTTTTAAATGCTGCTGTTTTGCGTTGCACCGAACCAGCTTGAATGATTTTTGCCACCAAAAATGAAGAACTGCCTCCTGGCAGAGATCCTACTGGAAAGGTTTAACACGTCATCTTAATGGTTCAAACTTAGACAAAATAGATGCCATCATAAGTTAACAGTGAATATTATAACTTAATGTAAAATGTGAAGATTCAGATCTGTACGTCAAATCTGCAAAATGGAGTTTCACTTTCAACCCGGCAAAAGCACTACTTAAAATGCATGTAACCATTTAAACCAGCCTTTCTCAACCTGTGGGTCCCCAGATGTTGTTGAACTACAACTCTCATCACCCCTAGCTAGCAAGGCCAGAGCTCAGGGATGATGGGATTTGTAGTCCAACAACATCTGGGGACCCACAGGTTGAGAACTGCTGATTTAAATGTTCTCATGCGTCATCCCCAAACCAGCACACAACTTTGTGCATGTGTGTGGGCTTCAGCCAGATTGGATGGCTTTAAAAAAAGGATTGGACAAATTGATGAAGGCTAAGGACATCAATTCCTGCCAACCTAGCAGTTCGAAAGCACGTCAGAGTGCAAGTAGATAGATAGGTACTGCCCCGGCGGGAGGGTAAACGACGTTTCCGTGCGCTGCTCTGGTTCGCCAGAAGCAGCTTAGTCATTCTGGCCACATGGCCCGGAAGCTGTACGCCGGCTCCCTTGGCCAGTAAAGCGAGATAAGCACCGCAACCCCAGAGTCGCCCACGACTGGACCTAATGGTCAGGGGTCCCTTTACCTTTACCTTAAGTACATCAATGGGTACTAGCCAAGATGTCTATGCTCTGCTTCCACGTTCAGGGGCAGTAATGCTTCTGAACACCAGTTGCTGGAACCCACGCGGCAGAAGGGTAGGGCAGAGTGCCCTTGCGCTTGGGTCCTTCCTGCGGGTTTCCCATGGTACGTCCCATTTAGTCCAGGATGCTGGACTGGACGGGCCATTGGCCTGATCCAACAGCCTCTTTTTATGTTCTTGCCAATTTAAGCTCACGTTTGGATATTGCTTGTGTTTGGTTGACCTTGCTCCCAAATAATCAGGAATACCCAAGTTGGATTTATTTTGACAACTGTTTGCAAATATTGCTAACACTGGTTTTCCCAGAAAGGCTCATCACATCACCCCTGTGCTTGTATGGGACCTGCAGATGCAGTGCACCTAGTTTCAGCTCTCATTTTTACAAAGTAAAATGATTGGTGTGTTTTTTTTTTTAAAATAATTCATTTTTAACAGGATTATTTATATTTAAATCATTTTCAAATTTCACACATCTGAGATTACTTGAATCTTTGGACTCCCCCCTGCCCCCCCCCATTTCAAATATTTGTCTATTCTTTCTACTGCATCTAATTACATTTTCCAAATTCATTTTAAATCCACTTTTATCTTTAACCTTATTACATTATAAATGTTACAACAATCCTGCTAATGTTTTTAAATATCTACAGTGATCTTTAAGGTACTCTATAATTTCCCCCCATTCTTTACTAATTTTATTCTCATCTTGGTGTCTGATCTTCATGGTCATTTTTGCCGTTTCGGCAAAGTCCATCATCTTGGTTATCCATTCTTCTTTGGTTGGGACTTTCTTTTCCTTCCATCTCTGGGGAAAAAAGCATTCTTGCAGCTGTTGATGCATGCATAAACAGTCTTTTCAAATCCTTTGGTATTTCATCACCTATTATTCCTAATAAGAAAACTTCTTGCTTTTTGACAAAGGTTATCTTAAACATTTTTTCAATTCATTATATATCATTTCCCAGAATTATTTTGTTATTTTGCATGTCCAGCACATGTGGTACAATGTGCCTTCTTTTTCCTTACACTTCCAATGTAAGTTGAAAGTGTTTTTATACATTTTTGCGAATCTTATAGGAGTCAAATACCAACGATATATCATTTTCATATAGTTCTCTTTCAACGTACAACAATCCGTAAATTTTTAATCCTTCCACAACTTTGCCATGAGTAAAGTTGTATATTATACTCAGTATTTGATATTGGGCTCCAATATGACTATGATTGTAAGTCCAAACTTACATGACACTCAGTGGGAGAACCAACAGACTTAGAAATAATAGGCAAGAATTATTATTTATACTGCTTAACGCCAAAATAGCCTTCTAAGCAGTTTACAAGTTTCAAAACCAATGTCACACAAGCATTAAAATATAAACAACTATAATTAGGGCACCCAATTAATATAATTGTTTAAAACTTTTAAAAGATAAACACCCATAACTAAAATATGCAGTAATAGGATACTTGAGTCCATAGAGAATATTGAAGAAGGGAGGGATATCAAATGGTAGCATTTGAGTAACAAAATAAAGAAGCAAGCCACACCTTGAGGCTCTTGTCTGTCCGAGGAGAAGGGATGGGTTCTGTCTACTAATCCGTAATATACGGCCTTTTCTATTTTGAACTCTTGTGATCCCTCTGGAGTGAAAATTTTTAAGGATTAGCTGGGGGCCTGGAGCTTCAGTTGAATATTCATGAGGCAGGGCCTTCTCTCCCTCCTCTTCCCACCTCCTGCTGTAGCTGAATCTCATCTCTTTAATCAGCCGAGAGTCTCTGCAGTGCATTAGGAGAGCTGGCAAAACATTCTGTATCAGCAGGACAAGGGGAGAGCGAGGCATCAGCATTATCCTTTGGAACTTTGTCCTGTCTCCATTTGTTATTGAAAAGTATAAATGCAGAATAAGCTGCTGGAAAGGCAAAGTCAGAAAAAAGAAAGTGTCACTATTTGGGGGCTGCTTCAGACAAGGGCAGTTTTCCTAAATAGATGTCTCTTCCATGTGGACCATGAAATGGCTTGGCATGTGGCAGGAAGTCCTGGCTGGTGATGGGGACACACCATGTTTGGTGTGGGGAAACATGCACTTCTGCATTCATCACATGTGCTTTATCCAACACACCTCCATCCTCCTACCAGTTGTGACATGTTTGCTCCAAGGAACGCTGTCTTATCCACTTGCCTGATCATGTAATGAAACATCACTCAGGAATGTCAATTGTCACATCTTAGCGTTTCAGGAGAGGAGAGCACAACAGAGCGCTGTCTGCAGTGTATTTAGATTAGGATGAGAGCCAAATCAAGGACCTGGAGACTTAAATGAGTCACAGGCTAGATATTGGGTGGGTGGGTGTTTTGGTCAGAAAAGGCAGGCCGTTGGAGGAAGATCTAAGAGGAGTGTTGCTGTTAACGGTAATGGGGAAGGGTGAGTAAGGATTCAGAAAGTCCGAGCAGAGCATGTTTAGTTAAAGGGCCTGAAAATGCAGAGCAATATCTTCATAGCCTAGGAATGGCTAAAAAAGCAGGCAGGAGGAGAAGGTGAAAACTGTGGCTGATGAGGCAGCTGCTGTGGGGGGGGGGGGAGAGAAGGTCCTTCCTGCTTGCATCTCTTGGCAATGGGAGACGGGGCTGCAGATGGGAGTATCTCAGCCAGCGTGTTGCTGAATAGATGGTTGTGGAGGGCAAACGCTGGAGCCAGCTGGGGTGACTCAACAACAGCACATGTACGCAGTGCTAGCTGTGACACCCCCACACCCACTGCTGTCTCCTGGCACTGAAAAGGAAGGGTGGGGAGGCTGCCCCCTCCAAGAAGCAATTTGCCTCATCGGTTGTTTCTGCTTCCGCACGTTGCAGGTGTATTCACATGTAATGGTGAGCCAAATCATGGCTAAGTGCAAATGTGTGGGCTCCTAGGGTGAAGATCGTGGCCACTGCACTCCTTGGGAGTAAGTAATGGTTTGGCATAGAACCCAGGCTCGTGGCTTGTCTGGTGTGAGACAAATCACAAGCCTGGGTCTGTACTTCAGCTAAACCCAGCAGTCACTGCACCCTGGGTCAGCAGCAGGGTTGCGAGAGGTGTGCTGTGGCCGCAATAGTTCATGGGAAGCCATGGTTTGGCTTTGTGTTACGTGTGAACCAGGCCAAAGTGTGTTTCTCATGACTCCCTGAGATGCCTCATTAGGTGGCTTTGCTTTCCACTCTGAAGGTTGTTCCCATTACAACTGAACAGATCACAGAAGATGTTGTCTTCCTGTCTGGTAGATCACATTTTCAGTTATTTTCCCCTTCCCCTCAGGCACAGTCCACCAAGCCTCCCTACCTGTGATTCGCTCTTGGTGCAATCAGATCATATCCCACAGGATCCTGAGGGGAAGGGGAAGTTGATACAATTGATGGGTTAGGGCCAGTAAATGGTTTGTGGAGTAAGAGGCAGCTGTTTTTCCTGCACATTCATGAAATCTATTGGCACTCGTTTTAGCCCCCACACTCTTCCCAAAGAGACTTAATGCTGACTGGCAGCTCATCACCAGCTTGCCGGTCTACCAACGGCATTCAGTTCCTGTTGCTCTCTGCTTGCCATCCCCAAATCTGACAAGCCACTGTACATTCAGGATAGTGCAAAGAGCAAGAGCTGGGGCACAACATGCTCTCCCTGCTTCTCCAGAGC